GAGAATAAGGTGCCAAAGAGATTGGCTTTGTTTAGGGGAGACTTGGCTATAGAATTATAAGGGCAGAAGAGAGGAGGAAAAGAAGGAGTGCAGAAGTTGTTACAGATGTTTTTGGTTAAGGACCAGAAGGATTTACTAGTCAAGACAGCGGTCATTCTTTTTATAAAATTACATTTGGCCCTACGAAAAATAGCCTTCCAACGTTTCCTAGAAGTAATGAAAGAGGTGTGGGTATTAGGAGAAGGAGATAGTTTCATAGCTTGATATGCCCTATCTCTCACCCTGTGTGCAAGAGAGCAGGTGTCATGATCGTAATGACGGCTAGCCTGTTAAAACCTAATGATTCATATTACTCTTACACGCCCACAAAACCTTCCGAGTCCCCCAGTGGAAACGTCCTCCGTTTTCTCCGTTTCTTTGATGACGTCATCGAGATGTCGTATTTGTGTTGACCGAGTTTGTAAACTCTTTCTGCTACCGAGACCTGTAAACCCCTTTTTCACCTATGAATATCAGAGCCCCTGATAATCATAGTGAAATTGTTGTAAGGAGATTAACTATGGAATTAGTTAATTTTCCTGATAGGAAGATTCAGGCGCTGCGTGTCGGGTCTTGCTCACCCGGGATTACCATCCACATCCTTTTGTGATCAATTTAATTCTTGCCTTTGATAGCTCAGTCAGAGAATTGTTTGTGAAGAGAACATTAGGGAATGAAACTGAGTTCGTAGTCTCAGTTTCAAACATCAGAGTGTACAGTAACGTAATACAATGAAATGGTTAAGCAGGTGGAATCGGTGACCTGGTGTGGGGTGGAGGGTGGCGGTTGGTTCAACGGTCAGTAAGCGCCACGATCCTCCCTCCACAGGTAGGTCATTCCACCTTCTCCGTGTTTAACCCGCCATTTTAAGTGATTTGACCTAATTAATATTTTGGTTGTGCAGGTATTACAGTAACGTAGTTGTGCTTTGAGTGAAGTATTTTTACGTCCTTAACGTCCCTTTGAAACATTGATGTTCGTTATCAACAGTCAGTAAGCGCCACGATCCTCTCTCCACAGGTCCCTATCCAGCCTAGGCCGTGTCTGTAGCGTGGATGACGCATCCACTAGTCTGGGGATATGTCTGAAGACCAGTAGAATCGGTCATCTTTGTGAATCCCGACTGTCAGAAGCTCCACTACCACCTATGGGCCCCATAGCTGGCCAGCCTTCCCCTAATGCTCTGCCCACGTGGTGACACCGGATCATTAGGTCCCACAAACAACTACCAGCCCTATCATTGGTGGATGAGCTCATGGCTCAGTAGGGCTACTTGGTGGTTGTGTTATTCCACCGGAATTATCGGAGTTTGTTGGAAGGTGCCACGTGGTGATGAGACCCCCATGGTGGTCGCTTGAGTATCACTCCTGGGGCTGTTGAGTGTTGTTCTGGCACGTTCCACTGGTTTTAATGGTGCTAAGGTGCTGTGAGAGAGTTTATGTGTGTTATTGTGTATGTACACCCAGTCGTGGTGTAAGTGAATTGAGCCTGAGGGCTGGTAAGGAGTTCCTATTTTGTGCATATAACCATTTTTTTTGTCTTTAATAAGCCATTGTATTTGTATGTTGGGGTCTATTATTCACCTATAGTATCCAGTGTTGTTCTTTCCTATTGCTTGATACTATAATTTCATGTACCCATGGGCCTACCTCTCGCGTCACGCTACCACAGGTTAGAGTATTAAAGTAAGTTGCTATAAGAGTTTCAAGCCCTTATACAGGAGCGATCAAACCATGATTGCAAAGTGAAAATTGTGGTAGAGATGGGATAAATGCACTCATACCACCCTGTATAATCCTAGTAATGCTGTCAGCACATACCAAGGCGTCCCGAGTGGAAGAGCAACATTCATCCCAAGGAAAGTCGGTGAAGAATTCTCGTAAGGATTGCCAACTTGCCTTCCGATAGTGCCATAGTTGACGTTTAGAGGTGGGGTGGGGGAGATGGTCGCGTCCAATTTGATGTAATAGAAATAAGCTTGTGATCAGAAGACCCTAAGGAGGCAGAAATTGAGCATGAGTAGTGTGAGAGGTTAGAGGTAAAACAGAGATCAAGAATGTTAGCAAGTTGATCGTGTAGATAAAAAACGCGTGTAGGGTGTTTGATTATTTGTTCCACATCATTAAATAGGGAAAAAGAAAGTGCCTCAGCTCCACCTGGGTCATCCCTAGCAGAGCCAAGCCCCTCTGTGTGATGTACATTCAAATCCCCCAGGTAGAGGATCTCGGTGTTGGGGTGTGTGGATAGCAACGACTCATGGCAAGAGGTGAAATAGTCAAAGAGTTCCAAATAGTTGGTAGAGTTGGGAGAACAGTATAAGAAACAAAGAAAAACATTCACAGTTGGTAGAGATATTTTTGAGTCAGGTGACATCATAAAGGGAAGATTCAAGATTCGTGAGTCAAGCTATGAGTGTACGTGTGTTGCAGTAGGCGCATACACCTCCCTTACAACGGAAGGAGGTATAAAGGTTGTAGTTGGAGACTTGAAAAGGTTTGGGTGAAGCTGCTTTGGTCAGTTGAAGTTTGTAAAATAGTAAGAGGTCGGGGTAAGAGGTTAATAGTTGGTGCTCCACAGAAGGAAAATTGGATCTCAGGCCGCGAATTTTAGAAAAATTAAGTGTGAAAAAAGCTGATCCTCCAACAACCGCGGTGGCGTCAGTTGAGGCCCCAGTAACTTGATGGTGACAAGGTCAGCCCTGGGGTCCACAACCTTCCCGACCAGTGGGACCCATCCGAAAAAGCCCCGCTTCAATATTTATATCAACTGACATAGGAGAATAATATAGAATAACTAAAACAGATCAAGAATGAGTACCGTTATATTTGTTGTGTTGTCAATAGTAAGAGAAACAATTGAGATCCTGCAACTGTGTGTAAATGAGGTTGAAAATCAAATGAGCAATATGGGACTTGGTCACAATTTTTGTGATGCCATATGGCAGCAGGGTCTACCATTAGACAATACCTTATGCTTCCACTATCTTCCCAGGCGGTAGTACCTCCCTGTTTGGTAGCTGCCTAGTACCTACTACCTACAGTATGTGGCCATAACAAAGAGAAAATTGATACACGCACAAAGAGAGCTTAGACAACATACGCCACACACACCACGCTACAACCTTCAAAGTTAGAGTTTTCAGTTCAGACCTCAAAGTCATATGAGCAGGTAGATAAGTCCCATTGATATTGTCAAGCTGCAGGTCTAATCTCCTAGGGGCAGTCACCTCACGTCCAGTTCTAGTTCTATATTTTCATTCTACTTGAGTGTGTTCTGCTATGGGATTTGCACCATGTTCAGACCCTACTGGTTTCCCGTCAAGTTCCTCCGGATTTCAGGGTCTAGGCTTCTTTGAGGTTTATTGTCTATGGCAGTATTAATGTCTTCTCTTTTTCTAACACTTGTGGGTCGTATAAACTACCGATTTCTTCTGTACTTTTTGCCTTTTTCCGTCTCGACTTCATAGGTTCTGCTTTTGATCATCTTGGTGACTGTGGCCCCTTCCACTATTGTGTCTTGTTGTCAATGGGCTACATCCTGACCGCCTCTCCAACTGAAAGCGGTCTCAGCGATCTATGGTCCTGGTGTCTCTTTGCCACAGTACTCTTCTTGTTCTGCATGAGCCATCTCTCTTCAGTAGGGTATCATTTGTGGGCACCAGCATCTTCATCCTCCTCCCCATTAGTCGTTGTACAGAAATCGTGTTCTGTCCCTCTTGTGGGGGAGTGTCTCGGATGTTCAGAAGTCCTAGGCACATGTCTTCTTTTGCCTTCAAACACCGCTTCATAATTCCCTTCACAGTCTTCACAGCTGCTTCGACAGCTCCATTAGCGCTATTATTGCCTGGACTTGACTTCACATGGGAGATGTTCCATGCTCGGGTAAACTGCTGGAAGTGTTGCGCTGTGAACTGTGGTCCATTATCACTGGTCAGAGTTGCAGGTATGCCATGACGAGCAAAATGACTGACGTTTGTAAACAACTGTCTCAGAGTCAGACACAGGTAACTAGTCAACCTCAATAAACTGACTGAAATAGTCTATGGTAACTAAATAGTCTCGACTCTTGATTGAGAATATGTCTGTCCCTACTTTTTTCCATGGACAGTCTGGTACTTCATGCATGTATAGTGGCTCCGGGACCTGTCTGCTAGCTGAATAAGCACAATTATCACATGATTCTATGTACTACCTAATCTCAGAAGACATTCTGGGCCATAAAATCAGCTCCCTGGCCCGTCTCAGACATGAGTTTATTCCAGAATGGTTCGCATGTAGTTTGTGTTTAATATCACCCCTAAGTGTGCTGGGAATTATAACCCTCTCTCCCCCCAACAAAACATCATCTTGAACAGTTATCTAATTTCTGTAGCTGAAATAAGATGATACACTCACAGGAACATCAATTTTGCCAACTGGCCAACCTTTCAAAGCAACTACCTACAGTTGACTTAGAATTTCATCTTTCTCAGTGGCCTCTCTAACTTCACACTTAGCACAAAAATTTAATAAAATGACATTACACGTTGGACTCCGCTAACCCGGGACACGATAATAGTCCGGGATGGTGTCAGAGCTCACTTCTAGTGGCTGTTGCAACTATTTTAAAAACAAAATACTTATAATTTATCCCTAAATATGTCTCCTAAAAGACCAGCAAGCAGTGGAAGTGGTTGTAATGTGGCAAAATGAAAGCATGTGACATTAAATATTTTAGAAAAGGTGTCCATACTGAATAAATTAGACAATAATAGTACATTTTACGCATTATTTTGCCTTTTTAAACCTCGGTTTCGATGGTTCAGAATTTTCGCCAATCCGGAACCGGTCTGGTCCCAGGTTTCCCAGATTAGCAAGGTCCAACTTGTACAGTATACTACAGTAGTATATGTCCTTAGTACATTACTTAATTGACACTAAATATTAGCCTGCCATAACAGGGTATTAAATAAAGCAAATATATTTAATGTTACTTTTATTAAAAAAAACAAAAAAAATTTGTGTTAACAATGTTTTTGTACTTTTCATTGCTCATGTTTTTTTAATATATTGTGTTTGCTTCAACACTCATTTTTATGTAGTTTTATTATTGCTTCAATGTTTTTGTATTTTTTATGCTTGCATGTAGTAAGAGTAAATATAGTGAGGGTCATTGTTCATGGAGGTCAGTCATCATCTGTCCAGTGAACCAAGCGCAGTTCCTTTAATATCAAAAACTTTAGGCAGCATTCTTATGTCATCAAAAGGTGATATCATCAGTTATTTTCCACAGTTGAAACTGATAATAAATCATTATTATATGAGAAGTTTTTGCACTGTCACCTTAGGGTTAAGATAAGTGAGGAAACTGGTGAAGGTTGTAGTCAAGCGGGGGTTGTCAACAGGTTGGGTCCATCTTAGTAGTTACTTCACACACACAATATAGCCAGCACAGGTACATGGTGGTGAGCCTAGTTGATGGAATTAGATATATTTCTTAGAATTTTCAATCTATTGTTTAATTCTTTTAGAAGGCTCATATTCTTGGGGGTTATCACTGCATTCAAGACACTGACACTCTACAATGTTATCATAATGAGAGATGTAGGTTTCTCCTGTATCACAGAGCAGCTCTACCTCCATCTTGTCAGATTTTGAAGGTTTACAGCAGAAACATGTGGAGACATGTTTTTGCTGTTGACCTGAAAAGAAAAAAAATAGAGAAAAATCACATTAAATACTGAAAGTGTAATTTGATTTACTTTAACTGGAATTGTCCATTAACAAGAATCCTTAAGTGTCCCAGTGATGATGAACTAATACAGACTACCACAGTTTATAATTTACAAGATTCCAAATTGTCTGAAATGACGTACTATAAAACACATTTTCTTCTTCACTGTTTATGACTACAGGTTGTACCTCTCTAGTCCGGCATTCTGTGGTCCGGAAACTCCCGTGGTCCGGAACGATTTTAGTTTGTCCAATAGGTAGATAGGCAGCTTTTTTTTTTTCTCATCTGAATTATTATTATTATTACAGGAGTATTAAATTTTTGCCCCTCAGGTCCCAATGTGGGTCAGTGACCTATGCCTGGGTGGGCTAATCCCCTTAAAAAAAAAGCCGCGGGAAATTAAGGTTTGTTTACATCCGGCAGTTCGGCTGCTCTCTCTCTCTCTCTGCTTGTCTATACAGAGTACAACATTTAACCCTTCAATATATATGAGCAGTAAATAAGTGTTGCTTTCATATTCTTATGTAGAGTAATGACGATAAATTTTCACATGTGCGCACTTACATACGAGCAGTCTCACTTTTTTTTTTTTACCATTAATGGTTAGCCACTTATAGTGTTCCATTTATTAACATTAAATAACAGTACAGGTACTTCAAGCAACCATATTCATTTTTTACATTAATTTTACTACAGCTAAACTCAGGGTCTTATTTTCTTCAGTTCTATATGTAGAACCAATCAGTCACTGGTTTCGTAAGCTTTAACATAAACAATGCCGGCAGCCGTCTCGTCTCCTCTAATATTCCACGTATTATTTATAAATTGTATTGTTAATTTTGCACACACGTACATTAATTCAATAAAAACAAATTCAGAAACATTAATTAAAATATATATGAACAGTAAATAAGTGTTGCTTTCATATTCTTATGTAAAGTAATGACGATATGTTTTCACGTGTGCGCATGCGCACTTACATATGCGATCTCTCTTTTTCTTTACCATTATCGTTAGCTACTTCTATTGTTCCATTTATTAACATTAAATAACATTACTTAAAACAACCATATTAATTTTACTACAGCTACAACCAAGGTCTTATTTTCTTCAGTTTTATATGTAGAACCAGTCAGTCACTGGTTTTGTAATCAACGAAAACAATGTTGTGTCATTTCCTCGTGTTTTAATATTCTACGTATCATTAATGAATTTTATTGCTCATTTTGCACACATAAACATTAATTCAATAAAAAAGACATTCAGTAATAAACGATAATGAATCTTTTGTACATAAGAGAAATGACGCTGTTTACACGATTATGCACGTCGTCTGCACATTGGCGGGCCGTTCAAACCCGTCGAAATTCAAGTTTACGCCGTCAAAATGTTTATTTATTTAATTTTTTGTGTGTTCCAATAAAATACGTTAAGAATTAAAAACTCGCGAAATTTGAGAAGCTACTATACGACATTTAACCCTTCAATATGTCTTCAAAGAGACCATGATGCAGAGAAAGTGGTGCTAGTGCTTCCAGGCATAAGCACAAGTCACTATCTATCCAGGAAAAGGGGTGAATTTCCATGGTCCGGCAATTTCCATGGTCCGGCACCCGTCAGGTCCTGAGGTTGCCGGACTAGAGAGGTACAACCTGTAGTACATTTAAAATGCTCCTTTCTACTCATTACATTAAATAATACCAAGTTTAATACTATACTAAAAGTTTTCTGAAGGCCAATATGGTCAGTGGCTTCAAATTTCATATAGTACAGAAGAAATTCTATAATTCTTGAAGAATTCACTTTTGACCCAACCTGTTCACCAAAAACTAATATAGCTTTCATTTTCCAATAAAATCTAATAATAAAACCTAAACAAAACCTAGGAAAAAATATATATACGTACAGTATAACAAAAGAAATGATCAAGTGGCAAATACCAACTTTTTGATTAATTATTGAACACAATAAGAGGTTTGTAGATAATTTCCTCTCTGAAGCTTTGTCACCAACCAGCCAGTGTAAGCATGAATCACTGGATACATTAGGTTATGTCAAGTCACCCTAAATAGATAAATGTATTAGGGTTTTTATCTACTGTCACTCCTCATTTAACGAAGCTTTGGCCAAGGGATTTTCGTTTTGTGGCAGGAAAAAAAAAGTAAATATTGTATAATAGTAAGTATGGTATCATTCAAGAAAAAACAAGAAAACATTAGTGAAAAATAAAAACATATAAAATCTGCAGCTATCTTTGTTATTTACACCCCTAAGCCAATCAGCAATCATCTCAAGATGTATACAGTGGCCCGTCAAGATTCGTGTCAGATATGTCTCGGTATGTCTCTTCATATTCATTATCTACAGGTACGTGTGTTTTGGGAACATTTAATGCCCATTATGAGGGAAATGGTTGGCAAGAGAGTGTGTTAGTAAATCAGCCAAGGTGCCCAGGAAAGTCATTTGTAGGTGCACAGTAGTAGCGAGGCAGCAGTAGTAAACCACACAGCAAGCTCTCCAAAAATTAACTGGTGAGTGTTATTAAAATAAGTTTAATTTATTATTTATGTTAACAAAGTCATTATTTGAATGTACAAAGTTAATAATTGTCACCTATACTGATTGTGGCAGCCCTTTTTGTTGTTTTATTATTGATGCTCCGGGGCAGTTTGCTGGCCATGTAATGTTTACTTTTCGTACAAAGATGGCGGTGGAAAATTACATATGTATTTCTAGGTAATTGCAACGTTTTCTAATGTTTAAGACTTATTTTGGCTCATTTTATCATCATTTAGACATTCTATAGGTATATAATAATATTTAAAGGCATTTATTTATTATTTCAGCTAATTTTGCTATTAAGCAAGTATCCATCTTCATTAGCACCATGTTATAATGACCTCTTTTATAATGACCAAAGCACTCCAGCTTTGAACTTCTTTTTATTATTGATTATTAGACACCTCACTTCCCTCCTCCCCCTCCTGTGACATTATAAGCAAATGGAAATTTCACTAAGACAGAAGACATTTATAATTATGAAAAAAAAAAGTAAACAAGGTATTAAGATGAAAATAATTAAAAAATATATATTATTTTCATTTCATAATAATAGAGACTGGGACATGATAGGGCAAAGCAAACTTTATTATATCAATGACCCAAAAAATCATACAGCTTACCTTGCTTCTGAAACACTGTAAAGGAATCACAGGATCCAGAGCACCGCTTAAAGTTGGGAACAGTATTGGTGTTTCTGCATGTTCCCCTACGTGGTAAAGATATCTCAAAGAGGCCGACAGTTTCTTCAAGAGGTATGACCTCTGGTTTACACTTTCCTAGAAAAAAAAACCCTGTCACAGTTATCCAAGTCTTTTTATATCTGTCCACAAAATTGTCTTCTCGGTTAATTGGGATGAAACAAGTATATCAAGCCTCAAAAAGAGGGGGGTGCTACATCTCTCCACCTCACGCCCCCCCCCCCTGAATTGGGTACACACACCAAAGAGATCTAAGCAAGTAAGAGTTTATAACAATATGTACTTTCATGCCACAATTGAAATACTGTATTCTACATTAATTCAAAATCCAAATTTTCTCTAATACGTGAACAGAGAACATCACTGCTACCTTCTGTACATCATAAAAAAAAGTAAAGGAAATAATTTTTTTAATTCATAATGATTGTGAACAAAACTTCCACAATGCCTCATTGTAACACATTCAATTTGTTTGTAAAGTTGAATGTCAATGTGACTACCATCTCCAGTGATTGTCTAATTTATAAATTATTTCCACATTGTACAAATGTCTCATGCCATTCCCTCGGGTACTTTACCGACACATATTGTAAATGGATCTTACAGTACATTTTCATTATAATAAAGAAGTTATGGATTGCTTAAATTTTTATCCTAAAAATTGTTAGTTACTTTGTTAAATGGCACCTGTATATCCACCAAACTAGTAAAACACTTCAGTCAACCATGTTGCTGACCTGAGAGTGAACTTTTTGTAGACATTTCTTGGTAAGAAAAATACCTACCAACATTTCTGAATGCAGAGTTAGTTTTGATAAGTGCTCTTAGACTTGAAATAAGTTCCACTTTGACACCACTATAGTCAATCACTCAACCAGAGTATCGTCCTCATATCTGAGAGATAACAACTTCAGTCCTCCACTCTAAACGTTTTTGGGCTGTTTTCACCAATCCTCCAAGATTTTCTATCTCTCTCTCTGTGGACTCAGTTTTTAATTTCATTCTTCCATCCCAGTCTCTGCGTTTCCCTGGCCCTCCTTCCCTCAACTTTGCCCATTAATATTTGTGTTAATATCCCCTCCAAATAATTGTCAGAATTGCAATATTTAATATTTATCCTGACAGTAATGTAGCCGAAAAAAGATCCACCAATCACAATGACCTTTACATACAACCTTACTTTACCAAGTATTGCCAGGTAAAATTGCCAGTACGAGACTCAGGGTAGGGTCGCTGGATCTTTGGCTGACTGTACATGAATAATTATATCAAAATATACAAATTTCATCAAAATCTAATGCTTCTAAACTGCTAAGGTTATGATCATTTTCATGATTACTATTAATGATGACAAGATTGTTATTGTGTGATTGTGGCAACATAATCCTGAATATATAAGCTTCAATTTATTACAAGAATGAATGCCCTATCACAATTAGTACAAGATATATAGTTAGTTCAAATTTCCAAAGCCGAATCATAAGGTAATCTCTTCCCTGACCACTCATCCCCTCCTTCCATAAAGGAGGTGGAGGTGGGGGATTGTCTGTTGCTGCAATCCATTTTTTTATTTATTCATTATTATATTTTCATATTATCAGCCTTTTATGGTGTATGTGTCATCATTAATGGAGACCGAGGTCGAGTGTGGCAGGTGTGTGTGTGTGTCATATGGATGATGCAGTAGGTGCTCTCTTCCCAGGAGGATTACCATCACCATTGTTTGAATTATTTGGCCTAAAATTTTACCCCTTTTCTGTGGCTGATTGTGTGTTGAACTTAAAGCTAACCAATCACAGTGCAGCATTATGGGCAAGTCCATTCTAAGAGTGAGGGAATAAACTGCTTACTCATAGGTCCAAGAGAAGGAAAGAGGCCAAGAGATTGCTCGCTGGCAGTAATTTTAAATGCTCGCACATGGCTGGAATTTAAAACAACACATATTTAAGGGTTTGGGACAAAAGTTTCTTGCCAGGTCTGGACTATCTGAAATTCAGATTTTCGAGGGTTTACTGTGTGTGTGTGTACCCTGTATACACACACATACACGCAGTAAAACCTCGTTAAGGCGGACCCTGCTAAGGGAGCTGTGCAACGAGCTTGCAGAGCCCCTGAAGATTCTGTTTTGTAAATGCCTGGATGAACAAATGGTCCCCAGTGAATGGAAAGTGGCTTATGTGAGTCCTATCTTCAAGAAGGGCGATAGGCACTCCACGAACAACTATAGACCGGTGAGCCTGACCAGCATAATATGTAAAGTACTTGAGAGTATTATCAGAGATGCAGCGATGGAACATCTACTACGAAACAACCTTGTAAAAGATTGCCAACACGGTTTTATGCCGGGGCGCTCTTGCTTGACACAATTGCTCAAGGTATTGGATATTTGGACCCATATTCTAGAACGGGGTGGTAATATCGACAATATTTACCTAGATTTTGCCAAGGCTTTCGACAGTGTACCCCACGAAAGGCTGAAAATCAAACTGGAAGGGTACGGAATTCGGGGAAATGTCCTAGCGTGGATAGAAGACTTTCTACATGACCGCAAGCAATGTGTGGTGATTAATGGCACGAAATCGTCATCTGTACCTGTAACAAGTGGGGTACCGCAGGGTAGTGTATTGGGCCCGCTGTTGTTTGTTTGTTTCATAAATGATATGCCTGACGTTGTACACTCCTCCATACAAATGTTTGCCGATGACGCCAAGTTATTTCGGGAAATTAAGAACCAAGCGGACTGTGAAGAGCTGCAGAAGGACCTCTGTGGGCTCCAGGAATGGTCGAAGGAATGGCTGCTGAGATTCAATGTCACGAAGTGTAAGAGGATGCACCTGGGGCGTACCAACGGTAAGGAGGCGTACCATATGTCCCAACGGGATGAAGAAAATGTACTAGTTGAGACTGTGTGTGAGAAGGACCTAGGTGTGTATGTTGACAATGAGCTGAAGTTCTCGGGCCATTGTGAGAAGAAGGTAAATCAGGCAAATAAATTATTGGGTCTTATAAGAAGGTCGTTCAGATATCTAGACGGTCCGTCCCTCGTGACGATCTTCAGGAGTGAAGTGCTTCCCCATCTGGAGTACTGTCACCCCATCTGGTCCCCGAGATATGCTAGGGACTGTCAGTTGGTTGAAAATGTTCAAAGGAGGGCCACCAAGCTGGTGCCTGCACTTCGGCATCTCAGCTACCCTGCGAGATTGGAGCGCCTGAACTTGCCTAGCTTATACTACAGACGGGCAAGGGGGGACCTAGTTGAGGTTTATAAGCATCTCAGGGGGCACTACTCAGTTGAGTGTCCTTACTTGGAGCTGGCGGACGCTCGCCCCACAAGGGGTCACAGCTCAAGATTGAAGAAGCCGCAAGTCCGGAAAACCGTGAGGGCAAACTTTTTCGGAGTGAGGGTTGTAAACTCTTGGAACAATCTACCAGAAAGTGTTGTGACGGCACCGAGTGTGAGCTCTTTCAAGAGAAGACTTGACCAACACTGGAGCGGGTTCAGGTACATTCAGGAGCCGGTGCATGCCCAGTATTTGCCAACAGTGCGTGACAGAGACGTGACCGATCGCCCGGGCGGCTAGCGAGCCGACCTTTTGGTGAAGAATATAAAGGAAAAGAGTCGTGACCGATCGCCCAAGCGGCTAACAAGCCGATCAGTGGCGAAGAGGATAAAAAAAAAAAAAATAATACAAAAATGAAAATATTTCAATATTTTTTTCACAGAAATAAAGTGGGTCAAAATTTGTCCTAATTTGCAATATGTCCGCCTTGAGCCAAAATTTCAAGGGACCAAGGCGTCAGCATGTGGGACACAGGTGCCTGAGAGTTATCATTGTTTTGGGAAATATTATTTCATTCACTCTAGTAATGATACAATGTTCCTTATTGTTTTATCATAGGTAAATGCATGGTTTATGATTATCACTGTGCCTGTCACCATTCATTTTCAAATTAGATTACAAGATATGTATTTCTCCTATACGTATTTCGATCGTACGCCTGGCAATGGGAGCCTGGGAGCGAGTGAGTGACGTCTAGTTAAATAATTGTCTGCAGTTGTAACTCTCCTCCCCCCCTTGCCACATTTCACTGGATTTACTGTGATTATTAGTGTTTACTGATATAATAGTACTTAACAGGGGTTAATCATGGCAGTGTAGCCAGGTTAGACTCATCACTGTAACCACCACGATATTGGGCCAAGCTGTAAAGAGTTACAGTAAAAGTCCAAAAATCCGGATGCCAGAAATCCGGACCACCCGAGAATCCGGACTTTACGAAAACTAATTTTTTTTTTTTTTTTTTTTTTAAGCGGGCTTATGTGTGTATGTGCGCATGCGTGAGCGCCACAGCTGCACAGCGACAACAAGCGACCACGTGGTCGCCACTTTAAAACGAGCAATCAAATTGTGACAACATACCTTATATACTCGTCTATAACCCCCCCTCGTTTATAGGTCTACCCTGATTTTTTGACCAAGAAATCGTTAATTTATGATATTCCTCGCTTATAGTTCGACCCAAGTTTTTGAGGGTAATGGAACAACAAAACCTGCTGTAAAAACACTAAGTCCTATAAACCGAGGCTCGCCCTGCCTGAAACACGAGTGCCGAAGGCAAATTGTTTACCATTTATTATTACGACACTTTACACTGAAACGCAGGTAGTTTCAACAAAAATATTGTACATTTCCATTCAAATATTTATTCAAGTCAATTAGGAGGGAATATTATTGTAATACAGTTTTTTAACTAAACCATTCGAAAAGCGATTACGGTAACATCTTTTGAACGAAAGAAAGCGAAAGTCATTGTTTTCGTCACGATTTGATCCCACTTTCCACTGTAATACGTACGTAATTTCAGCAAAAATATTACATTTCCGTGAATGTATTATATCAAGCACAGTATGAATGGAATATCATTGTAATATAACAGAATTTTAACTGAAAACTATTAAAAAAACGAGTAACATCTCAAGAACATCGGAAGCTCAGGTAAAGTCTTTTGTTTTCGTCATGTATTTTATCCTATTTTACATTGAAATGCATCTCGTTTCAGCAAAACTACTATTTATTTCCGAGAATATATTCATTCAGGCGCAGTTTAGGTAAAATATACGTGTGATGTAATAGTTTTTTAACTGAAAACAATTCGAAAAACACATACCCTCTAGACCTGTTCAAGGCGAGGACTGGGAAAAGCTGTTTGGTGCTGCAGACGATGACAAAGAAAATGATTTTAATGGATTTTAATGAAAATATTCAGAGATATGGTATCGTAGTATTTATTCAAGTCAATTAGGATAGAATATTATTGTAATACAACAGTTTTTTAACTGAAAACCATACGAAAAGCGATTGGGATAACATCTTTTGAACGAAAGAAAGCGAAAGTCATTGTTTTCATCACGATTTTATCCCACTTTCCACTGTAATACATACGTCATTTCAGCAGAAATATTACATTTCCGTGAATGCATTATATCAAGCACAGTATGAATAGAATACCATTGTAATATAACAATATTTTGAGTCTTACTCTTTCCATTTACAGAGTACTGTACAAGCCCATAATAATGGCCCCTAAAGTAGATAAACTTCGTTGTGTGAAGAGAAAGAAGAACACGTTGAAATTGAGTGACAAACTTGAAATAATTAAGAAACTAGAACGTGATGTGAGCAATACTATTCTAATGGAAACATACGACATTGGAAAGTCTACAATTTATGATATAAAAAAGGCAAAGAATAAAATTCTAGAATTCACAGCTTTTTCATTAAAACTACTCGTTTTGATAAATGAAGCATGCTATATTTGCTAATGAATACACTATCAAAATGTACCTGTTCATCTCTTCTTTATTCCTCCTTAAATTTCAATTTTAAAAGTACTGCCTGAGAATTCGGAAAATCCGAAAATCCAGACCGACCCAATCCCAAAGCAGTCCGGATTTTTGGACTTCTACTGTATATGGTTGCTTTTCAACTCGTATTTTTGGGTATATACACACAACTTTCTTTCTTTATTTTTACTCAGTTACATGCACACAGCATCCTACATACACACTTGGAAAAAAGTAAAAGAAATAATTGTCCTAAAGGGAATATACATTTCTTTGCACATAAGTTAGCTGGCTGAGTGAGGGAGGGGAAGTCGGTCGCAAAGTGTAGGGGGGGGGGGTGCTAAGGAAACAGCGTCCCAGCTGATCTTCGTTACTATGGTGAAACAGGTAGTATATGCAATTGGTGACTGTGCTAAACTTTTATTTGGCTTTTATTTACTGATTTGGCAAAACAATACAATTTTTTTGTAACTTATTTATTGATATTATTTTTATTTATTCCTTATATTAGTCATAGAAAATTATGGCTACAGGAGGAAAATACACACAAAAGTTTTTTCCTAAATATTCCCTGCCGTAAGATACGGTACAGTACTGTATTTTGGTGTTTTTTAAACCATTATGTATAGTGTTTATATATTTAGTATTTGCCATAGGCTGAAGTAGCAGTAATATTTTTTTTCATTATAATTGAAAAAAAATTAACAACTATGGCCAACTAAGAAAGTGTTTGGTATCAGTAAGGATGGTGAGAAGGTTAAGCCTAAGATCTTTTCAGTGAACTAAAAATTAGTGTACTGTACAGTACTTTATGTACTGCACTTTGCCTTTTTAAATTAATTTTGATTAAAAAACATGTATTTCCTTCATAACACTTGGACACATTGGTGGTGTACTCGTTTTTTGTTTAAAATGGCGGTCTTTTTAGAAAAAAAATGCTCGAAGGTGGACAACCTCTTATCCCGGACATTCCTTCCCCACAATTAGTCCGCCTTAACGAGGTTTTACTGTGTACATAAACAGAATCATAGCATGGTGACTTGACTTAAACAGCATCACAATTCAGTACTGCAGAATACCTTAAACAACTGATAGGTTGTGCATTTCCTGTATTTTAATCAAAATAATTACAACAATAATAGTGGTACTAAAGGGAACTTTGTGTTACATTTCCCCAGTATCTTCCACTATTACAGTCACCTCTCGATTTACACGGATTTAATTTGCATGTTTTTAAAATAACACTAGTATTAAATTAATATCTATTTTTAAAATAACAAAGTTTTTTAAGAGAATGCCATTGTGCCAGGCAGCGGAGTTCAGTACCTCATTTTTTGTACCTCATTTTTTCCTACTTTATAAAATAGGAAAGAGTAACATCACCTAAACCTCAGCCATCGACATCTGGCAACGCAAATACTCAAACTTCTCCTCCCCCATCACCTGCTCTTTCATTTGATTCATATGACTCCTTCCCCTATGTTGACAATGAGCTGAAGTTCTCGGGCCATTGCGAGAAGAAGGTAAACCAGGCAAATAAATTATTGGGTCTTATAAGAAGGACTTTCAGATATCTAGACGGTCCATCCCTCGTAACGATCTTCAGGAGTGAAGTGCTTCCCCATCTGGAGTACTGTCACCCCATCTGGTCCCCGAGATATGCTAGGGACTGTCAGTTGGTTGAAAATGTTCAAAGGAGGGCCACCAGACTGGTGCCTGCACTTCGGCACCTCAGCTACCCTGAGAGATTGGAGCGCCTGAACTTGCCTAGCTTATACTACAGACGGGCAAGGGGTGACTTATAGTTGAGGTGTATAAGCATCTTAAGGGGCACTACTCAGTCGAGTGTCCTTACTTGGAGCTGGCGGACGCTCTCCCCACAAGGGGTCACAGATCAAGATTGAAGAAGCTGCAAGTCCAGAAAACTGTGAGGGCAAACTTTTTCGGAGTGAGGATTGTAAACTCTTGGAACAATCTACCAGAAAGTGTTGTGACGGCACCGAGTGTGAGCTCTTTCAAGACAAGACTTGACCTACACTGGAGCGGGTTCAGGTACATTCAGGAGCCGGTGCATGCCCAGTACTTGCCAACAGTGCGTGACAGAGACGTGACCGATCGCCCGGGCGGCTAGCGAGCCGATCTTTTGGTGAAGAGAATAAATGAAAAGGAAAAGTAATCAGAGACGTGACCGATCGCCCAAGCGGCTAACGAGCCAATCAGTGGCGAAGAGGATAAAAGTAAAAAGTAGTAACCCCCCCACCTCTCCTCTACCACCACCAGTTCCGCATGCCATCCCAGCCATCATTCAACATAAATGTTAGCACAAATTTTCATTTAAAATCTATTTCCTTACTACTGTATTATTAGGTTTGCTTCTACTGTATTATTGTACTACTATCATTATTATTATTATTATTGCTTTATTATTGTTATTATATTATTGTAGATAAAACATATTGAAGGAAATAGATTAACAAATTACAGTTTTTAGGGAACGTTTCCCCTAACCTCTGCCATTTCCTTTATTTATTCTGGGATAATTAAGTTTTATTTACACGTTTTTCATTTACACAGTCATTCTGAAGAATGTAACTACCATTTAAATAGAGAGATGGCTGCACAGGCACTCATCTGCTTCTTGGAGATATTATTTACTTTCTTTAACACTCTCGGGATCACGTGAAATTTATTTAATCAGCCTGTCACTCGCTCTGTTTGGAGCCCGCACAATGACCAGAAATCGTGGAGAGGATATTTTTTCCTGAGATATTTTCATGGCTATGATAGTCAAATGGGCTGAAAATCATATGAAAAAAAAATTATAATAATAAATAAATAAATAAATACAGTAAAGCCATTTTGGCGAGTATAAATAAAAAGTGAGAGTTTACTGTTGATTCCTCTTCATGCTGTACCCATATTATTGCATTAGTAGTCAGTATAGAATGCAGATGACAAGAAAGAAGACGATGGTGTAATCAGAAAAAAAAGATAATGTAAAAAGTAACGGATTTACAAAATAAAAAGTAAAAATAAGTAGTGATTAGGCATACAGTCGCCGAAATGTTTATGCACATTATTTTTCTTGCCATTTTTTGTTGATATCTTTTAAAATATCTTTTTTTTATGGTGGATTATTACTGTACACATACTAAGGAAAAGAAATAGAACAGTTAGAAGTTTCTGTGACAAAAACTCAAATTTTGGCAATAATATTTCCACTTACCCCTCAGACGAGGTAGACCTTGGCATATGCAAGACAATGGTGATGGCGTTATGAATACATATCAAATAAAAACAATATATTCATTATAATTCACCATACCCACAAGCATGACTCTACTGCACCACATTTCACTATCACTTATTATTTTTGCAAGCTGGGCCGATATATTACGACATGCTTTGACGTTTTGATGGCTATACAGGTGACACCTTCTGAAATGGCTGGAGTATTAAGTATGTCCTAATTCTTATACAAACTACAAATATGATTCTTACCTGTTGTAGTATTGCACCCTTTGCAACAACCAAACTCATCCATATATATAGCTTCATCAGGACACTCAGGGTCAAAATATGGACATTCCTTCCTGGTTGCAACAGTAGTTGGGACACCATTACGAAGTTCACAGCTGTACTCAAAACAGACGTTTTCTTCACTCTCCCAATGTTGACCAATGGAGTAAGCTACATCATCATCAACACAGTGTGTTGGAATACACTTGCCACAGCATTCATCACTGGTAGAAGTAACAAATGTTATAAAAAATCAATTACATAAGGAAGTTAATTTCTGTTTCTATAATGAGATAACATAAAAAAGATAAAATTATCCTAAGGCATACTTGAACACCATTAGGCTTACCTGGATCGTAGTTATCTCATCAACAGGCAAAGATATATCAGACATAAAACAAGACTGAAGACCAAATGCACTAACGGAGTGAATCTTTTCAGATGTATAAATCTTAGTCCAACAGTGCAAACCTTCATATGGCAAGGTGAAAAATAATAATACAGTATGGAATAAGAAGATAAACATAAAGATTTTTTTTTTAAACTTGGAATATTCTCTGTTTCTCTTGGTGTTGGTAGTCCAGTGATACTACGGTGTCACACTTGCTTCCCACCAATAAGTCCCAGGTTCGATCCTGAGTTTAGCGTAAACAGGATGTTCTCTAGTGTGATCCTATCGCCAAAACACAACACATATTAATACACCTGGCATATTAATATTCTTCATGTGGCAATGGAGGATTTCAGAGGAGTGGTTTTTTTATCATGCAATAGTTGTGTCAGCTCTTACTGAGTGAATACGGTACTTCTACAAATGTCTCAATTCAATTTCAATTCAATTTCAATTGTTTATTCCTTGATAGAGGAAGTGGGATCCTAGTGCTGTCACTAGGTACCCCTGCACAATGACACCAGAAGCATCTGGCAAGTGTGACAAGTATATACAGTATAAATATTATAAAGGGGCTTACTAAAGCCTAAGGAAGGAAGGATATTCCTTCAACACATAATCAATATTATTTACAAAATATCTGGCCAGTATGGGGAGGATCATCGTGTCTCCGTCAGGGGGTCGTGGAGTGGTGGTCCAGCAGGCGTCACGGAAGCGTTGTGTGTGGGGACATCTTAGGAGGTAGTGAATAAGGGTGCTGCTGTCGGGTCTTCTGCATAATGCACAAGAGCGTTGCTCAGGGGATGCGGGGATACCAATCTCCCAAGCAAAGTCATACCCAATGATGATACGGGCAGCAATCACGTCCCCTTTCCGCGACCCTTTCCCGTAGACGTACGAGAGGTCAGGAAGTTTACGGAGGACATCGTACCAGGACAAATGTCTCTATTTTTCTTTTCTGACCATCGCTTTATGCGCACCACTTCATGCGAATTTGCTATTATGTGAGGACCCTACTTCTACCCACAATTTGCTTAATGAAAAAAAGCTATTATGCAGTCTGTGCATAATATGGCATACAAGTGGTTTTGTGGTGATGCTGAGAGTGGGCGAATTCAGCCAGCAAGCTGACTTCAGAGACATGTGGCTGCTACGCTCTGCATGCTGTGACGTCATATCGGGGAAAGTGTGAGGCATCCATACATACATAATACTGTTCACACTCATGCTCTCCATTTTTCTTTTTTATAGTTTCATACTGTATTACATTGCCTTTATTTCTTAGCCACATCAGAGTACTGAAATGATTTTCCAACAACTTTTACAGTTTCATTACATAAATCAGTGGCAACATCATAGCCATCACAAGGCCAAAGCTGCTTGGCAATTTGGTGATGTGTCTTATGTAGTGAAGATTATGCAGGTGAGTATGGGGCCCACACTTTCAGTGTACAGTAGATGAAGTGGATCACACTTACAATATGCTTTCGGTAAATTCAGAGTTCCAATTTTCTACATTATATCAAGGACAGAGAATTTATTGTCGACCATCACTAGCACTTAAAATTTTTCCTTCATGGTGAGGCGCTTTCTGCTCTTTGGAGCCTTACTTGGGCATTGTTCTCACAATGTGTTATTTATATGTCAGGAGAGAGCAGATGAATATAACATGACAGACTGATAGCGAAGCCTCGAAGGGTTCATAACTTGTGTGTTCGTGCGCGTGTTGCCCCGCCATAGTTAACATGGCCTGCCGTTCAGAAAGGACCCGGTCCTTAACTTCGGCCCGACCTGGGTGGGCTAGAAATTGTGGTTTCCGACTGTACATCTGCACTGAGTAATAGCCATGTGTAGACTATGTGCACCACAGCTGTGCTCTTGTGATGTGGGCTGGGCTGGCAAGACCATGTGGTCCATGCTGTTTCGCTCCTTAACAATAACGATGACCCGCAAGATATATTTTTTTTATTTATAAATAACTTTTTTTTCAAGATTCGTGCCCTTACTTAGGTAGTCTGGGTTTTTACTGTATTTTGTTTCAATATAGCTTTACTGTTGTTTTTTAGCATGACTTTGTTATGAAAAAGTGCCAGAATTAAAGTTGGGGAAACTCCAGAAATGGTTGTGGGTTTACTATTCGTGGTTTCGACTATTCCCAGCTAGCAGATAGTGGATAGTTCACAAGCCTCTATGAGAGCACTATAAGTCACCCCCACATGCCCACAGTGTCTCCTCTCCCTTGTTTGTACCTAACCATTGCCTGCAATGCATCATCATTCGAGTTGTACTCAAAACTCTCAGTGTTTTTGAGCAAAATTGCCCCTAAGCCTAGTGCTAATTCTGTTAGTGAAGTGAAACATAAAAGGCAAAAGTCAGTGATGAACCTTACCAAAAAAGTTTAATTATTTTTAAGTTAAAGGAAGGAATGAGGGCTGGTTGTTTGGTGTGAAGGAGTCCATGGTCGTGTCTCAATGGCCATTGTGCCTTGGCAAATGGAGCCCCCTTTCCTCCCCTTAAAAAAAAATCTTTGAAAGAAATTCAAATACTTCCCTGATTTGTAAATTCTAACTACTCTGAACCAACAACAAATGGGGGATAGGGTGGGGATATTATTGCCACGGTCTTTTTCTCTATTAATTAATAGTATTATGATGGATGGCACAACTGACATGTCAGGAAACTATCAAATGATTGCTTCTTCTCAGAAAATGATAAACTTGGTGACAAATGCATAGGTCATACATGTCTAACAAGTCTAGTGGGGTGGAATGGGCCCCAACTATCAGCACCAGTGGGAGGGAATGTGCCCCAACTCATAATGAAATGGCACACCCCCCAAACGGTGCCAAGTCCGCCTCTGGTCCACGGTGCGGTACATAACGAAGAATGAACAAGTGAATCTGTAAGTGCTAAAGTGGCGCAGACTGATCATGATAAAAACATAGTGAAAACGGTAAAAGCATTTAACATTTGGATTTAGGAACAGCACCAGAAAAATGTGCTGATTAACAACAATGTGATTCATGAGAAGGCTAAGAGTCTCTATGACCATTTTTATGAATCAACAGGTGGTGAAGAGGCTAGTGTGGCTACTGAACAAACTTTTAGTGCCGGTAATGGTCATTTCGATAATTTTAAGAAAAGATTCTCACTCCATAATGTGAGGCTGACCGGAGAGGCAGCACCAGCTGACCACATTACCGCAGAAACAAGGGAGATAATAGAAGAGAAAGGCTATTGACTGGAGTAAGTTTTCAATTAAGATGAATCCTGTCTATTTAGAAAAAAGATGCTGGTAGAAATTTCATTAACAAGCAGGAAAGACAGGCCCTAGGGCTCAAGGCAGCCAAAACAGAGTGATGCTTATTTTTTAAGACAATGCAGCAGGCCACATTATCAAGCGTTACTTATTCTGCCACTCAGCAAACCCTAGGGCGTTGAAAGGAAAAAACAAGAACCTTTTGCCTGTTTTTTGGTAATCAAGCAAGAAGGCATGGGTGACTGTACAAGCATTCCTGGATTGGTTCCATAGATACTTAATCCCAGAAGTGGAAAGGTATCTTGCTTCCAAGATGATGGAATTCAAAATTATATGAATCATAGACAATGCAGCAGGCCACCCAGAAAGTTTGCAGTTTACTCATCCAAGTGTACAGGTAGTGTTCCAACCTCTGACACCACTGCTCTCATTCAGCCTCTTGATCAGGGTGTAATACGCACCTTCAAGGCGTATTACACCTACCCCTCTTTTGGTCGTATCTGCAGTCCCTTGATGTTAGCAAGTGTTGGAAAGAGTACAAACTCAATGAATCATTTGGTGAGCTAAAATCCGAGACAGTGAATGCTTGTTATTAGACCCTGTGGCCTGAGTGTGCTAATAACTTCCAGGGACTCCCATCTATAGAAAATGATGTGAATGGCATTGTGAGTGTTGAGCATGAATTGGGGAGTGAGAGGTTTGTGGATGTGGTCGTAGAAGATGTGGAAGAGCTGATTGCTGGGCAGGGAGAGAAACTGACAGATGATGACTTGGAAGAGTTGGTAAAAAGTGCAAAGGAAGACAAAGAAGAAGAAATCTTAGAACTGCAACAAGAAGGTAGGGGCTAGAACAATTTTGGTGTTTTTTTTTTCCGACATGTGAAGGTGGTAACTGATTTAATTATTGACTGCGACCTTTCTATGGAATGAAGCCTTAAGATCATCCAAAAAATTAGCCCTGCATTGGTTCTCTACCAGGAAATGTTTAGAGAACTTAAAACCAAGATGAAACAACTACTAATAATGATGTTTTTCAAGAAAGAGCCAACCACTCGCCCAATTGATCCATCTCCTTCACCTCCTCGGTCAGCCACTGTCACTCTACTACCTGTCTCTCCACCAACCACCACTGCATCACCCTTTTCCAAGATTGATCCTGATGACCCACCTGAGGGTCTGGATAATCTCCCTCAACTTCAGTAACCAGACTTCATCGTGCTGTAGAGAATACTTCATCAAGTTCCAAACTTTTACATACGGATGTAAGTCTGGATGACTTATTTTTTATACACAGTAATGGTATACAATAGTGCATTATGGTATTTTAAGTTGCTATTCGCTGTTTTACTTATTCACACCATTCCTTGGAACCCAATCCCTGTGAATGACAAGGGTTTACTGTATTAAATTTATGCAATTTAGAGCTATGCATGGTTTCACAGAACATAACCCTCTTATAAAGTGAAGGTTATGTGTAGTTTTATGTACTGTACTGTACTGTACTGTACTGTACTGTACTGTACTGTACTGTACTGTACTGTATGCACACTGTATGAAGTGGCTCGAGATGAATTTATTATACAATACCATTATACTTACCAGTACAGTATTTAAAGAAAAAAACTGCTAAATTTAACTGTTTTCTGGCCTTTTTCCTTTTGTGGGGTAATGTTGGGATGAGGGCAATTTGATATTTCATGCTGTTTTAATCAACCCAAAGCCTTAACAATATTGAATTAGCAATTGTTTAATTCATATTATTCATACACACACATTCTAGTATGAAAACCTCATATGATATAAAAACTTTGTATATTTATTTCAGTTGCTCAGGAGAACAATGAAAACATCAGAAGAACCTGCTCCTTTATACATTTTTTTTCAAGTCTTCTTAATACCCACACAGTGTATTGCATAGTATTTTTTATACAGTACAGTACTTTTACTTTACTTTTCTCCTCTTCACCACTAACTGGCTCGTTAGCCACTTGGGCGATCGGTCACGTGTCTGTTCGCACTGTTGACAAGTACTGGGCATGCATCTGGCTGCTGAATGTATCTAAACCTGCTCCAGTGCTTGTCAAGTCTGGTCTTGAAAGAGCTCACACTCGGTTCCGTCACAACACTCTCTGGCAGATTGTTCCAAGAGTTCACAACCCTCTCCGAAAAAGTTACCCCTCGCAGTTTTCTGGGCTTGCGGCTTCTTCACCCTTGAGCTGTAACGCCTCGTGGGGCAAGTGTCTGCCGGCTCCAGGTAAGGGCACTCAACTGAGTAGTGCCCTTTTAAGTGTTTATACACCTCAATTAGGTCCCACCTTTCCCGTCTGTAGCATAAGCTAGGCAATTTCAGACACTCTAATCTCTCAGGGTAGCTGAGGTGCCGTAGTGCAAGCACCAGTCAGGTGGCCCTCCTTTGGACATTTTCAATCAACTAACAGTCCCTATCATATCTCGGGGACCAAACAAGGTGACAGTACTCCAGATGGGGAAGCACTTCACTTCTTATAAGACCCAATAATTTAGTTTCCTGATTCACCTTCTCACAATGGCCCGAGAGCTTCAGCTCATTGTCAACATACACACCTAGGTCCTTTTCACACCCAGTCTCAATTAATGCAGTTTCTTCAACCAGTTGGGACATATGATACGCCTCCTTACCGTTGGTACGCCCCAGGTGCATCCTCTTACACTTCGTGACATTGAATCTTAGCAGCCATTTCTTCAACCATTCTTTAAATTCATAGAGATCCTTCTGCAGCTCTTCACTGTCTGCTGGTTTCTTAATTTTCCGAAATAACTTTGTGTCATGCGCAAACATTTGTATAAGGGAATGTACAGCGTCAGGCATGTCATTTTTGAAGTAAACAGACAATAGCTGGCCCAATACACTGCCCTGTGGTACCCCGCTTGTGACGGGTGCACATGACGATTCCATACCATTTATCACCATACACTGATTGCGGTCATGGAGAAAGCCACGCTAGGACATTTCCCCGAATCCCGTACCCTTCCAGTTTAATTTTCAGCTTTTCATGGGGTACACTGTCGAGGTATTATTGTCAATATTACCACCCTGTTCTAGAATTTAGGTCCAAATATCTAGTACTGTACCTTGAGTAATTGTGTTAAGCAGGAGCACCCCAGCATAAAACCTTTACAAGTTTGTTTCGAAGTAGATGTTTCATTATGGCATCTCTTATAATGCTCTCAAGTACTTTACATACTATGCTGATCAGGCTCACCGGTCTATAGATATTCATGGAGTGACGATCGCCCTTCTTGAAGGTAGGACTAACATAAGCCATTTTCCAATAACTGGGACCTTTTTTTCATCGAGGCATTTACAGAACAAGATCATCAGGGGCTCAGCAAGCTCGTTGCACAACTCTCTTATCACTCTGGGATGCACCATGTCAGGGTCAGGACCTTTAGCTTTGACAGTTAATTTCTTATAATCTCTTCTGGGAACACAATGTGGGTCAGTGCTGTGACGAACCGTCTGTCCTCAAACGCAGGAAGGTTAATCGCATCCTCTCTTGTGAACACCCGAGGAAAAGAAGCTGTTCAATGCCTCAGCTTTATCCTGGTCAGAATCTGCGGTACTACCATCTTCAAGCCTCAGGTCTGATACTCCTACTCATGTTTTTAATTTCGACTTTGCATAGCGGTAAAACGACTTTGGGTTTGACCTGACCTCGCTTGCAACCAGCCTCTTGAACTCCTTTTCAGCCCTTCTTCACTCTGACTTTATTTGGTGTCTGGCTCTTGCAAACATCCTCCTGTCCAGCTCATTGTTTGACCTAGCCCACGCCTTGAATTTCTGGGTTTTCTTCTTAACTTTGTCGACCGCCGCATGGTTCATGTGTAGGGGTCTCCTTGTATTCCTAGAGGCACTGGGTATATATTTATAGATCAAATGGTTCACTTTACTAGCTATGGTATTCAGTGTCTGCGTTCTTATGCCTTAATGAGTCATGCCAGTGGATAGCCCTCATCCCGTCATCATTTCCCTTGTAATATTTGCACCTTGGCATGCTTTTGTCATGAACTAGGTAACAGTTAAATCTGAACGACAACATTACATGTTGTCAACTAGGGATAGATGTTCCAGTTTGGCCACCATACCCTCCTCGTTTGTTATGATGAGCTCCAGTGGCTTGGATGTTTGCTGCCCTCTGTAATGCATAGGGTCCTTGACATGTTGGAACAGAAAATTATCTCTTAGAGTTTCTACAGTACAGTACAGTATAATACAAAAAATCAAATATAGCATACACCCTGTACTTATTTTCAAATTTTTTAGCTTTACTTTACATTATGAAATCTTTGGTATCTTTCTCATCAATCAATTTCCAAAGCCTCTTGTCTACTAGACCCAAACCTTGTCAACCACAATTTGCCAACTGCAGGACAATTCTAGAACATAAACCCCATGGCTAGTAATGGATTAATGTATTGTACAATGATATTTCTGTTAGCTGGAACAATTGGTGCAGAGCATTTCCGGGAACGAGAAAAAAATTCCTCATCCTGGAATTTTCTGGATAACGGAAAATGTTCTCGGAAGTTCCAAAAATAATAAGACACCATCTCTCGAACCCGGAAAATATCCCCCATCACCAGAATTTTCTAGATACTAAGAAAATTTTATCAAAATTTTCCAGAAAATGTGTCCCTCAGAAAAAAATTCAATTTCGGGTATTGGAGAGTTCCAGTGAAGAGGAATTCTGGCCAAGGGAAACATTACTCGTACATCGTTTTACCAACCATGGTATCCACTGGTTTTCATAGCCACCATGAGAGACTTCTAGTCCAGTGTTGTGGTGGCAGGGATCCCATCACCAGCCTTGATGGTTGGTGGCATGATGGGGGTCTTGACTCTTCCGTGACTAGAGTGAAACTGATAGCCCAGAATGCACCACATTACCCCCATGACCTCATCACATTTGCTTAGCCTCACTTTTCTTTTTCACAGTGCTTTTCAACCGATGTATATCCCTCTGATTCTGCTCTCAATAACTCATAATAATTCTACATTTTCCCCTGAAATATGAAAACAACTGTTTGGCCTGATATAGTTTAGTGTCCCAACTAGGATTTTTATCCCTTATGTTGATGAAAACACACACACACACACACACACACACACACACACACACACACACACACACACACACACACAAATAGAGTACATGTACAAAAGGCACAGACTGCTATAAATAATTACAAGAAATGAATCATCTTTGTCTTATTATAATGGCTTAATATATACAGCATCAGGTTTATGTGAGGACTTACCTAACAGGTTGACTGTAAGATGAACCTCTATCACAGAGTACGTCACAGGTTATCTCCCTCTCACGGCGCGTGATGTTACCTTCAGCACTAGACACACAGCTGATGCTTAAACAACTGTCATTGGGATCTTGGACAGTTACCCCAATCTATAAGAATAAAACACCATAATAATTTACATATTAACAACCTCGGGTTTAGTTCACATCTGTTTTCTATTCTATAAAATATTATTTGTCATTTCATATCATCTAATTACCTTTAAGGAATATATTTATCTACTTGTATCTGATGCAATAAAACCAGATCATACTACAGCATAGTATAGCCTACATAGTCTTCAGTAAACTATGTATTAATACACTCATCACTATATCTCATCCTTAATCCCTTTACACACACAAACAAAAACAGTAATTCTATATTCTGTCTTTCCTGCAATGATCTCACTGTGCCACACTACCAACCCCGCTCACTGTAGACTAACTTTTTTTGTTTGGTACATACTGCGCACCTTCACTTCTCCAAATATAAAATTTGCTACTCATTTACAACTGGATGAACTGAGGGTACAGTACTTGGGAACAAAGAAATTATCTTTAGGGCAGGTTGTATACACTGCATCCACTTGGCTGCTGCACCCCTAACTCACATAAAGGTAATAATGTACTAAAGACAGTTTCCTAATGAAAATTTTTATGTGACTTGCAGGAGAAAATTTTGAGCCTTTGGCACAGGGTGTTACAGTCATCCTTGTTGTTACCAGTAAACTGTATTCAGTTATAAGGTTTGTGTCTGCACACACCTACAGGTAAGTTTTAATTCCTTCTGACAAACTTTGCTCCAAATAAAGTAATCACCCCCAATGTCTTTTACTTTTTTCAAAGGAGTTTTGTTAGGTTAGATTGGTTTAGTTATAGTATTAGGTTAGACCAAAATTATAAATCCTGTTAATTGCATGTCTTGTTTTTGCCTTAATCTTAAATGACCTTGGGCCTGTTTATATAATTTGTTTATCACTGTGCCTATCACCATTTTCTAATTAGTCTACAAGATATGTAATTTTCCCATATGTACTGTATTTCGATCATGTGCCTGGCAACGGGAGCGGTAAATGACCACTAGTTAAGAGTGTTGTCTGCTTTTGTAACTCTCCTCATCCCCTGCCACATTTCAGTAGATTTACTGTTATTAACAGTGTTTATTGATATAATAGTGCTTAATATTGATTAATCATGGCATCTAAGCCAGGTTAGACTCATTACTGTAACCACCAGGCGACTGGGTCAAGTTGCGACTTGTTATGGTTGTTTTTCAACTCGTATTTTCGGATAGATACATTACAGAGGTCCCTCGGTTAACGAGCGCCTCGGTTAACGAGATTTCGGTTAACGATTTACCTTCCATAAGATTCTTAACTTCGGTTAACGAGCAATCCCTCGATTAACGAGTTTTTTTACGAGCCTACTTCAACATGTTTTCGCTTGCATTTGGCGGTCCACCAGCTGTAGTATTAGTCCGCCAATACAGTAATCGGTTTTAGGGCTTAAATTCCTTACTATTTTAGTAAATATCAAGAAGTTTATACTATTCAATAATTTTAAAAGTTTAATATTAACTTTTTTAGTCATTTTAACAATTATTGAACATAATTGAAGGTAAAGAAACTAGTTTCTGGCGTGCCACCCAGTTTGTTAACACACCAGAGAGGCGTTAGTCTCTCTCTGTTTTCAGTGGAGGTAACATCTTGCTTGAGACTCTCTTCAACTAAATGCTTTTTTTCTGTGTTTCCAAGCAAATTATTGGTCATTTTGAAATATATTTTACATATTGACAATATATAATGCAGTGCAGTGTTGATTTAAAGAAAATAATCTTGAAATACACCAAGAGAACTAAAATTTTATGGGTGAAATGGTGCCATGGGGTGACTTCTCTTCCACCCGAATGCCTTCTCTTCTTCCTTCTCCTCCACCCCCATTCTAATTCCCATCACCATCATCATCATCCAGGAGCCTTCTACATACACACCTCAAAGTAAGTGTACTTTTCTACCTTTTTTGTTGAATTTAGGCAATTTTCGGTGAGCTGGAACCAATTACCCAAAAACCCATTGAAACAATGGTTTCGGTTAACAAGTTTTTCGGTTAACGAGCAACCTGCTGGAACGGATTGTGCTCGTTAACCGAGGGACCACTGTACTTTCTTCATTCATTTTTACTCAGTTACATGCACACACCATCCTACATACATATTGTGAAAAAAATAAAAGAAATAATTGTCCTAAGAGCAAACACGTAAAGGGAATATATTGTACATTTCTTTGCACACAAGTTAGCTGGCTCAGTGAGGTAAGGCGGGTGGTGAGCTGTGCTAGGGGCATCTCCGTCCCAGAGGGTCTTCGTTACTACGGTAAAACAGGGTGTCTATGCAAATGGCGACTGTGTTAAACTTTCATTTCACTTTTATTTACCGATTTGGCAAAACAGTATTTTTTTAACTTATTTACTTTATTGGTATTATTTTTATTTATTCCTCACATTTCCTAGTACAGTATACTCTTGATTTAACGGAATCAGAAATAACGAACTCTCGATTCAGCAGAAGGAATTTGTTCTGTTATTTTTCACTCAATTTAGTGAACACTAAATCGAGATTAATTCCGTTAATACGCTCAAACCTACGGAGACACCTCAGACACATGATACAGTAAAACCTACTTCAGCCTAAGGTGAATGTACTAAATGTATAAAAACAATAAATAATAAAAGATAACAACACCATATAAGATTCACCCCCCATTTTAGCAGGGAGTATTTCGGAAACTGTTTCCAGTAACATACTGTACTGTATTGTACTGGACTTGATAAAACCACACAGGAAAAGGGAAACATGGAGCACATTAGCTTTTGTCTTTATTCAAGACATCTTCAGAGGCAACTGAATTTACAGGGATTGAGAGAGGCTTATATACAATGAGTGACCGTACATAATATTAACGTCAGGTCAATAACATGGGATCCACTAATCCCACACACCACCTCCAACACAAACAAAAAAAGCCTATAAAAAAGGGGGTGACATAACAACAAGTCAGGTCAAAAACATGAGACCCACTAATCATCTACCCTACATCCACCTCAAATGCTGTCAAAGCATTTATAACCTTAGGCCAGTTATTATTAACACCTCAACACCACAACATCACACACACAACATCTAGCGTTTAAAGTCTTGTGTGAGACACTGTGAGTTGGAGGGAGGGAGGAGGCAGGATGCAGGAAGGGAGGGAGGGGGCAGGGACAGAGGGAGGAGGCAGGGTGCAGGAAGGGAGGGAGGAGGCAGGGTGCAGGAAGGGAGGAGGCAGGAAGGGAGGGAGGTAGGGACAGAGGGAGGAGGCAGGGTGCAGGAGGGAGGGAGGGCAGGGACAGAGGGAGGAGGCAGGGGTGGGAAGGGAGGGAGGGTGGGACAGAGGGAGGAGGCAGGGTGCAGGAAGGGAGGAGGGGTAGGGACAGAGGGAGGAGGCAGGGGTGCAGGAAGGGGGGAGGGGCAGGGACAGAGGGAGGAGGCAGGGTGCAGGAAGGGAGGGAGGGGTAGGGACAGAGGGAGGAGGCAGGGTGCAGGAAGGGAGGAGGGGGCAGGGACAGAGGGAGGAGGCAGGAGGGAGCAGGCAGGGGCCAGGAAGGGAGGCAGGGAGAGAGCAGCCAGGGAAGGAGGGAGCAGGCAGGAGGAGGGAGCAGGCAGGGAGGGAGGAAGCAGGCAGGGAGGGGGGCAGGCAGGAGGGCAGGCAGGGAGGGGGAGGCAGGGAGGGAGGGAGGCTGGCTGGTGTATGTTTTGTCATTGATAAAATAAAATATTAAACACTAGATAAAAATATTATGTAAAATTTCACATCAAAATTACATGACCATTATGTTATGTACGGTCACTCATTGTATATAAGCCTCTCTCAGTCCCTGTAAATTCAGTTGCCTTTAACAATGTCTTGAATAAAGACAAAAGCTAAGGTGCTCCAGTGTATTTAGTTGATCGACAGGTAGAAGTGAACGACACACACAGTGGCAGCAGGACACAGACTGAGCAGATCTAAACAAATCTGACTCGCCAAGCGATGTGTGGCGCGTTTGGTGTAGAATTTAATGAAATCACGTTCAATTTAGTGAAATAGTTTGCTAAGTAGAGTGAAAATGATGGAAATTTTGATTTAACCGAGAGTAGCGACTCAAATTTGTTCATTAAAACAAGAAAATGCAACTGTATACACTATATCATTTTAAGAAAACTATGGCTACAGGAGGAAAATGCATACAAAAATCTTTTCCTAAATACTCCCTGCTAAAATGAGAGGTGCATCTTATATGTCGAAAAATTAGGTACTGTATTTTTGGTGTTTTTTATATAATTATTTATCGTTGTTATCGCCACGTGCCGGCAACATGTTGAGTGAAGAAACTGTTTACAACTCAGGATAGCTTACTAAGCGAGATGGAGCTGGTAGCAGCTGTGTGACTGCCTGAGGGACAGTCTATCGCCTTCTACCGTAGGGACAACAGGTTGAACTTTCGTTCAGCCAACATCTACCAGGAGGATATTATATTTGTTGTCGTTGATCAAACCCTAGACCCCAAAACGTGAGTGTGATTGTGAACTATTATATCCTCTAAGAACTCTAAATAACTTTAATAAGTGTATTTATGTAATGTATATTGATCATACTATACAAACTGTGTCCTGATGTATCAGCAGTTGTAACATGTGAGTTATATTTAACAGGTTAATAGTTTTATGTATTGTATATTGATCGTACTATTCAAACTGTGTGTCCTGATATACCAGCAGTTGTTATATGTGAATTGTTATTTAACAGGTTTTGACCGAATTATATTCATCGCGTCAACGACAAGGGTCTTATTGTCCTGCACAAACCAAAATCGCTCCTATGAGCGGTTATAATCGTTTTTATACATTTAGTACATTCACAGTAGGCTGAACAAGCATTCATATTTTTTGCATTATTAGTGAAAAATTCAACAATAACAATGGCCCCTAAGAAAATGTTTGGTATCCATAAGGGTAATAAGAAGGTTAAGCCTAGGACCTTATCAGTAAACTAAAAATTATTGTACAGTACTTTGTGTATAGTATTACTTTATAAATTTAATTTTGATTGAAAAAAAAAATGTATTTCTTGAATAAAAATTGGATATACAGGTTGTACCTCTCTAGTCCGGCATTCTGTGGTCCGGAAACTCCCGTGGTCCGGAACGATTTTAGTTTGTCCAATAGGTAGATAGGCAGCTTTTTTTTTTTTTTTCACTTATCTGAATTATTATTATTATTACAGGAGTATTAAATTTTTGCCCCTCAGGCCCCAATGTGGGTCAGTGACTTATGCCCGGGTGGGCTAATCCCCTTAAAAAAAAAAAAACAAAGCCGCGGGAAATTAGGGTTTGTTTACAACCGGCAGTTCGGCTGCTCTCTCTCTCTCTGCTTGTCTATACAGAGTACAACATTTAACCCCTCAATATATATGAGCAGTAAATAAGTGTTGCTTTCATATTCATATATAGAGTAATGACGATATGTTTTCACATGTGCGCACTTACATACGTGCAGTCTCACTTTTTTTTTTACCATTAATGGTTAGCTACTTATATTGTTCCATTTATTAACATTAAATAACAGTACAGGTACTTCAAGCAAACATATTCATTTTTTACATTAATTTTACTACAGCTAAACTCAGGGTCTTATTTTCTTCAGTTTTATATGTAGAACCAATCAGTCACTGGTTTCGTAAGCTTTAACATAAACAATGCCGGCAGCTGTCTCGTCTCCTCTAATATTCCACGTATTATTAATAAATTGTATTGTTAATTTTGCACACACAAACATTAATTCAATAAAAAGAAATTCAGAAACATTAATTAAAATATATATGAGCAGTAAATAAGTGTTGCTTTCATATTCTTATGTAAAGTAATGACGATATGTTTTCACGTGTGCGCATGCGCACTTACATACGCGATCTCTCTTTTTTCTTAACCATTATCGTTAGCTACTTCTATTGTTCCATTTATTTCCATTTATTATCATTAAATAACATAACTTAAAACAACCATATTAATTTTACTACAGCTACAGCCAAGGTCATATTTTCTTGAGTTTTATATGTAGAACCAATCAGTCACTGGTTTTGTAATCAACGAAAACAATGCTGTGTCATTTCCTCGTGTGTTTTAATATTCTACGTATTATTAATGAATAGTATTGCTCATTTTGCACACATAAACATTAATTCAATAAAAAAGACATTCAGTAATAAACAATAATGAATCTTTTGTACATAAGAGAAATGACGCTGTTTACACGATTATGCCCGTCGTCTGCACGTTTGCGGGCCGTTCAAACCCGTCGAAATTCAAGTTTACGCCGTCAAAATTTTTATTTATTTATTTTTTTGTGTGTTCCAATAAAATACGTTAAGAATTAAAAACTCGCGAAATTTGAGAAGCTACTATACGACATTTAACCCTTCAATATGTCTTTAAAGAGACCATGATGCAGAGAAAGTGGTGCTAGTGCTTCCAAGCATAAGCACAAGTCACTATCTATCCAGGAAAAGGGTGAATTTCCATGGTCCGGCACCAGTCAGGTCCCGAGGTTGCCGGACTAAAGAGGTACAACCTGTATTGGTATTGTATTCGTTTTTCGCTTAAAATGGTGGTCCTTTGGGAAAAATTTGCTCTAAAATGGACGACACTTTATCGTAGACACCTCTTCTCCCCAATTAGTCTGCCTTAGCGAGCTTATATTGTATCATAAATTAGCCGAAAACCCGATTTCCTGAAAACCCCCAAATTATATAAATACATTACAGTATAATAAATTTGTTGCTAAATATCGAAGGAGAAGCAGTTATTTGGAAATTTTTTTTGTGCAGAATCATTGTTGGTGTCTTTTTAATAATTTATATACACTCTGCAACTTATAAATGAAATACTCTACAGGTATACCCCAAAAAACAATGTCCCATTAGCCGCCGATTCACATAACTGACGCTTACATATAGGGGAATTATCCCGCAAATTTTGCTGATACCCCGGAAATCTGACAATCGAGGGAGGATCAGGAGAGCTGCTTTGAAATTGGCTGTCTCTGATTCCTCCCACCTGTCTGCACTTGTTTACACTTACCATCTGTCTCCGACTTTGTGTTTTTTCATTATTTTTTTTTTTTACTTCGTGTTACAAAGTCGTGCCTAAATGCCCCAGTGACAGTTCCCATTGTGCTGCTCCTCCTAGGGGCAGCTTGATGTGATGTGATAAGGCATAATAAGGTGATGGACCAGCAAAGATTGGTAGACACTTGAACTTGCCACCCTAGATCATCTACCATCCTCAATAACTGCCTGGTCCCATTGACTGTTTGACACCTTCTGATGGAGTGCCCCAGTCTCAGAAAGCTTTATGAAGGAAGCCGGCCTTCTACACAAGCTTTAAGTTTTATCTTTTATTAGAGTTTAAATGATTTTTAAAAAATTTCCTTGTTATTTGTTACTTATGTTTTTTACCTTGCACTATTGATTTTAGTCTTTTAAGCTTTTATTAAAATACGGCGACATATCACCTAAGCTGTTGCGTCACTAGGGATGTACAGTGATTACTAAAATCAATCAATCAATCCTCAACATGGGTAAATAACATTCATTTACATTCCTTATTTAATGCTTATTATGCTTGCTTTATATGTCTGATTTACTTTCTCGCTTGACAGTGCGAACTGCAGATATATATCAAGGGTAGATGGGAGTGTTTGGGGAGTCACTGGTCCCCAACCCTCTGAATGTGTCATATTATGGGATTAATTGCATCAATAACCGTTGATTCACTCTCCAACGACTTTTCACGATCATTATATGCGTCGATTATCGGCGTATGCCTGTACACTATTTTTTCTGGTAGAGGGGGCAGTGGTGGCCCGATTATCGGGGTATGGCTGTATTTTTTTATTTTTATTTTTTGGTAGAGGGGGAGTGGGGGCCCGCCAATGTGCCTAGTTTTGGGACCCGGGTTGGCTGGCTACACCCCTGAGCTAATCAAGATGGTTAGTTAATGTTGGCAAGGTATTATTGTATAATGAATGTAACTTACCTCTATTCTGCTTTGATTGTCGTTCATGAGACAAGCCACTCTGGTGTAAACAGGGCAACACTGGCCAGGTACAGGTGGTTCCTTATCATACACATAATGCTGAAGGTCTTCCTCGTTCGGCTCAGTACACTGTTCTTCCACTGCCTGAATCTGGATCTGGTCCTAAGAACATGATTTTATGATTTTATATATATATATATATATATATATATATATATATATATATATATATATATATATATATATATATATATATATATATATATATATATATATATATATATATATATATATATATATATATATATATATATATATATATATATATATATATATATATATATATATATATATATATATATATATATATATATATATATATATATATATATATATATATATATATATATATATATATATATATATATATATATATATATATATTAATACCTGAAATTAAATTCAGCAACTTAAAATATTTATAATGATAAAAAACACTAAACATATATTAATCAAACCATTATATAAGGCTTACATACATGTTTATCTCTGGCACAGGTATAGGTGGTGCACAGGTCATCTGACACCCAGGTCTCACCCACAGCTTTTACTTGGCTCTCCACAACACAGGCAACCTGAGAGTAATCCAAAAGTAATACAACATTTGTAAATGCTTTTAAGAATGGTTTGTTTATGTCAGTTCCTGTAGGCAAATATTGTGAGTATAATCTACAGTATAGTAAGTTATTCATGTGTTCCAAGATAAGGCAACATCAATAGGACATATATCATAGACCTTATTTCATAATAGTGGCAAATTAATAGACATCATAACCTAACTTAAATCTCATTTATCTAAATATCTGAGACATAAATTAAATAAATGAATCAAACAGAAATGAAATACATAATGAAACGATTAAATGAACAGAAACGATAAATAATGATATAAAAACCACCAAAAATACAGTACTACATATTATCCTGACCACTGGGGTTGGTTATACAGACTTTTTCCTGTGAAAAAGCCATAATTTTGAGCAGCATATTACTATACTCACTTTGTACTTAAATGTACTACACTAAAGGACTAAAACTTTTATCTTTTTTGCAAAATATGTCATGTCTATACTCTAATTATGCACTGTCTTACAAGGATTCCAGCAATACAAGTTATATTCTGCTAAGTTCTCTGTAAAATTATAAAAGATAAAAGCTTTAAGCCTTAAACTACCTTCACCCCTGGCGATGGAGGGGAGTGGGGGGGGTGGGTGAGGTACGGTGCCTGATTTTCAACCTCGGAATTTGCTTCTCGTTATGGAAGGGAAGGGAGATTTCATCAGAATTTTGTCAGAAAATGCACTTGATTTTCAACTTTGGAAACTAATTTACAGACCCAAAATTGAGAATTTTTTACTGAAAAATTCTGAGCCAATTTCAATTCTGGGTATTGGAGAGTTCCAGCTACTGGGGATTGTGGCTAACGGAGATAATACTTTATGTGCTATTGTATATTATGATGTGCTATGTGTTTTTTTCATTGTTTATTATAACATTTTTTATTAATTTTGGTCTACCTCTCACAACAATGTGGATTTCATCAACATATCCACTTTATTGCCAGAGGTATACTACACACATTCACATAATCCATTTTATCTCACCCTGCACAAGGCCATCCATGAATTAAACATAGGTACGTCGGGACTCGTGAGCCTTATAAAAATCGTCTTTACAGCTCTGAAAGCTTCTAGAATCTAGAACCTTACCAATAGTATGATTATTTAATTTGAACAACCGGTAGTTTATTATGAGCTTAATAAGTCAATGTGTGTTAGTGTAATATTCTGCCTGTTGTTAGGAACATTTGTGAATCCCTGTTGATATGGAGCCCGACCATCTAAATGATGATGTCGCTGTAGCTTAATTAGTCCGATACGTAGGCCTTTTACTGTACAGGTAAACCTCTACTTATGATATCCCAATTTACAAAAATTCGTATTAACGATGCTGATATATTAAGACCACTTCCCTATTTGCTATGGAAACAAACTCGCATTAATGATATTCCACATCCATTAACTCGCAAAGACGGCATATGAAACGTACCACTCACTTCATCTGTCAGCTAAGGCATCATCTATCCTAATGCCACCTCGTGGCCATCTGGTGACCTAAAGTCCAGGCATTGTTTCTTCTTGGTTACATGTGTGTAAATAATGGAGCTCAACGTCAATCACAATGTAAAGTAATGCACCTACAGTGCATTAACTTAATGACAGAGGCAAACTCACACCATCTCACTGTACCTCCTTTCCCACCATTCATAAACCATAACACATGCCTTTATTATGTTGCTTAACAATTGTGCTAACTTCAAGCATCATATGTATATACAGTAGACAATCTATTACTGTGTTTAAGGGGCGGCTTATTTGCCCTCAGCATGGTCTCCCCCCCCCCCCTCCCCCAGGAGAGAAATTGATACAAGCTTCTGACACAACAAAGGACAAGGGTTGTGTATCACTCTCACTATCTTTCTATTCTTGCTTCTTTAGTGGCTAACTACAATACCTTACAGACCTATAACTCAATAACTGTCTGTATGTCAGGGGTGTGGAGTAGTGGTGTGAACGTCATGACTGGCTACCGTTATCATGTGAGCTGTTGCCACATTTTTTATTTTATTTTTATGGATCTACCAAATAACTAAATAAAATTGTGCAATTAATAATTAAAAACTTAATTGATGGTAAAAATGATACGTGTGTGACTAATGTTCATTTGCCAAGTCAACCTTAATAAAGCAAACTATTATATTAACACGTGTGTGGTTGTGGACTGAACAGCGGATTCGTCCTCAGTTTTTTTTTTTTAGTTTATTGGGCACTCCCCTACACCCTGTGCAAGGTGAAGCGCAGAAGCGCTTACAGCGCCCATCTGGGAAGCATGGTGAGTTCATGTTTGCCTTTATGTCTCATGATTTAAGTGCGTAGAAGCCTGAAGGGTCGTAGGTTTTTTGTGAAGGGCGTAGAAGCCTGAAGAGTCATAGGTTTTTTGTCAGTAAGTTATTGGAAGCTCCAACAACTTTCCCTGAATACGAATTCGCAACTTTTCGATTTACAACAGGTACCTACTTGACTGCTAGGTGAACAGGGACCAAGGGGGGCTAAGAAGTGTGTCATATTATGGAATAAATTATGTTTGTGTTTACCTTTACTTTAAATGTTCTCTTGTTTTAATTGGGTTTTGTTTTGTTTTGTTGCAGATGTATATGGATTTATGAGTTGAATAAAGCCTTGATTACTGAAGGTGTTTGATATCATACGGCAATTTATTCAACTCATATTCTACTAGCAACATGGAATGCATACTCTGCCCCGACAAGCTTGATGTTGATCCAAATTCCCCAGCTGCTGAGAAGGAATACAAGCATTGGCGTTAAACTTTTGAAAACTTTATTGATGAGTGTGGAGACAGAGCGCCTGACAAACTACGATGTTTGACAAAATATGTGTAAGCTACTGTGTATGAATACTTTGCTGATGCTACGGAGTTTGATACCGCTATACAAGTGTTGGAAAAGGTGTGTGTGAATAAGAAAAATGAGATATTCGCCAGACACCAGCTCGCCACAAGACGTCAGCGTCCTTCCGAAACACTGGATGAATTTCTTCGCGACTTGCATAGACTCAGCAAAGATTGTACTCTAAAAGCTGTCACGGCCGAAGAATATCGTGAAGAGTTAGTATGGGATACCCTCATCAACGGACTGCCTTCTGCAAATATACGTCAACGTCTATTGGAAAATCAGGCTCTCACACTCTCTCACGCCTTTGATCAAGCTAGAGCCTTGGATCTTGCACAGCGTACTTCAGAAGCCTTCCAGCCACTAGGTCCTGTCATTGCAGCAGCTTCAGGATGTGTGGAGGAAACTGTTAAGTCACCACACACTAATCAACTAATCATCCAGTTGAGAACTCAACACTTGCTAGTATGACCACTAAGAAACGATGTTGGTTTTGTGGTGGCTGTATGAATATTATGTATGCTGTATGTATATTATGTATGTATATTATGTATGTGCTCCATTTATATACACTATTTATTCAGCCTAGCTAGCAGCGTGTGGCAATGTATTTACCATGTCCCACATGCTTAATTAATGTGCCTGGCGACATATGGAAGCTGCTAATGTATCACTCACCACATGTCGCCTAGAGACTAGTTGACCCCCATACAGAGTGAGGAGCGCTACCTCCCTTGTGTACATATCTGTTTATCCAGTAAATAGAACCTACGAAACTCTACAGGTGTTTGTGTTCGCTCCTGTAGATAGAACTTGATACCCAGAACACGTACATGGCGCAGTGGACCGATTTTACTGGATAATTATACAAGTAACAGTGTAAAGTTTGTGGGAAGACCGGCTTATGGACTCCTACTCTGCGTCAACCACCGCTAGTGGCCGTCTCCTCCAAGAATTTATAGCAACTTTGAGCAGTGTCAGTGACAGTGATTTTCTGTGAAGTGTTTAGTGCATTGTGTGTTTAGTGTCATAACTGTGTGACCTTGTTCTAAAGGATTCCCACGGTAAAAGGCATGTTCTGGGCATTTGCAAGGAGTAGACTTGAGTACACCTTCCCTCGCGAAGCCTGGAGGGTAACTGACGCGAGTCGTCTCCACCCCCCCTCACAGCGAGACACTGCCCGCCCGAGACACACACGTATGAACACACTGACTGCGGCCATTCCTTTATATATATTTTATATATATAATCTACTTATCTGTGCATTTAATTAATTTTTTGTCTCAGATCTTGTTGATACGACGGGCTGACCGGTCAACACTGATTTGAGACACAGTACACAGATGAAGTAATTATGTCTCGTGCCTTACGCAGTCGTGGAGCCAACGCCTGGATGAGTCAGTCGGATGACAGCTCGGCAGAGATGGATGACCAGGCGGGACAGGACGCTCCAGCTCCCACCACATCGCGCAGCCCTTCACCTCGATATTCAGCGTTGTCTCCAGAGATAATTGCTTTAATGAAGTTCATGAGGAATGAAAGGTGCAAGGATGAAGCTAACAGACGTGTGGAGAATGAAGAAAGAAGGCAAGCAGAGGCAGAGAGAGACCACCAACGGAGAATGGAAGACAGTGCACGATTTGAAGCTTTGATATCTCGCCTCACTGTTAACCAAGACCCTGGCTCTAACACTGCCTCGGTATCGACTGGTTCGGATACCTCATCAACGCTTTCTTCACACCCCCCAGCCCCACCTAAAGCGGCTGCTCAAACACCGCCCATATTGAAGCCTGATGTGAATTTCCAGACTTTTCACGAATGGCGGCGACGGTGGACTGATTATGCTACAATGGTGGATCTCCAGAGTTTGTCACAGCCGAAACAACTTATTCAGCTGCGTATGTGCCTGTCTTTGGAAACTCAGCGTGTCTTGGAACATACGTTGCAGGTACCTCCGACCTCTTCGTTGTCTGTAGAGGAGGTACTGGACATTCTACAACGGCACATCAAAGGGCAGCGGAATGAAGCTCTGCGCAGGAGGGAATTGTTTAGCTGCAGACAGATGGAGGGCGAGGCTTTTGATGCCTTTTATGTACGACTCAAGAG